TAAGGATCATAGAAGTCCGCGAGGTGACATTCCTGTGAGGCATTTCTTGGAAGAGCTGCCAAGCCACCCCAGCCCCCCACCGCACTTGAAATACAAGTCCATCAAAATATTCTCCAGCAAGATCGATGGAGAAAGCGCCGAGCTGCCGACCTCTGCCGAACATCGTAGTGAATCCTCCTCCCGCTCCCAATATCTCTCGATCTGGCAACGCAATGTTTCAGCGCTGCGACAGTGGCTCCCATGCCCGGCGCCTGGCCGCTGCGCCGCTGCGAATCGTATGCTTGCAGCGCATTGCCGCATCCCTCGCGAGTGCAACATCGCATTCATGGCCACAAATTTCTTTTTGAAAAAGCTTATAACATAAAGCTTCTGATTACGTTTCAAAGTCAGAGTAATTTTGGATAAGAGTGTAATTGGGAGAGGCAGGTGTGGTGTGGAAAGGTCTTTGCCAATTTAGTCTGTTGAAAGCTCGAGCAATTTGTGTTCCTGTATAGTCAAACATGCCCATTTACTGTAGTATGCAAAAACCATTGGTACAGCCCAGTTGCTGCAAAGACACTAATAGAAATGTTGCAAACACCATTAGAAGAATTGCTAATGTATATGAATCTGACATTTTGCTTCAACATGTGAACTATCTTAAATTGGCAGAAAATAACTACAGAAAGCAAAAGCAAGGCAAAAGTTCCAGATGGCATGGGCATCCATCACGAATCTAAAATAGAATAATACAAATAATAATCTTATGGGCGCTCAATGAGCCACAAACGTCCAAACTAATGAGCTACTAACATTACTACAGAGGAAGATTTTTCTCTTTTATTTGGCAATTTTATTTGAACCATGGAGCTCTTTAGCACTGGATGAAGAAGCTGTTCCATCCAAAGCCCGAGCAGTCCTGTACAGAGGCACTAAACCGTGTCTGCGCCACACCTTGGCAGTTTGCCGTGTTGTAGGCCGCAGCAGTCTGGCCCTGGTACCCAAAGCTGTAGCCGCCGTGCTGCGAGGCTCCAACATTGGTGCATCCACAAGCACTGTAGCGCACCCGCTGATTGTTACACCCGGGCCCTGCCCAAGTATCGAAGTAGCTTGCATTGGCCGTGATCATTGATCCCAAGACAATGACCGCCACAAGAACGAGCACCATTTTTCCTGCCATTGTCACGCAAACACAAAGCTATGCTATGATCGTCAATCAAATGAAAACTCTCTCAAGGAAGATCCAATGAACATCTAAGAGCACACAACAGTGAGATTTATACACCACCTCTTGCACGCGCCAAACAGTCAAGGGTCATCTTTTGCATGCGCAGTCAATGACGTGCACAAGCCCTAAAATATTATCATTATTGAAAACCTAATTGTACGTAGGAAAAAATGGTGGAAAAGGCCGCTTTCCATTGGCAGGCCAGCGCCGAGCATTTATTCGCGATCAGCCAGGACAGAAGGTGTGTGATTAAAAAGGAGAGGGAGTGTTAGAGCCACGTGGTGTACAGCCAGCTGGCTTTTGTTTTGGTCTCGTCCTGGAGTTTTCTTCTGGAATATATGGTCAAAGACAACCTTACAGGTGAATGGTAAATCAAGACATTGATAGTTTTCTCAATTTCTTGTTACAAAATATCAGTAACAACATCCTGCTCCTGCATTTGCATAAAGAGCTTGGAAGCCACCTCCGGATCGCCGATCTCGAAACGTCTAAGGATCATAGAAGTCCGCGAGGTGACATTCCTGTGAGGCATTTCTTGGAAGAGCTGCCAAGCCTCCCCAGCCCCCCACCGCACTTGAAATATAAGTCCATCAAAATATTCTCCAGCAAGATCGATGGAGAAAGCGCTGAGCTGCCGACCTCTGCCGAACATCATAGTGAATCCTCCTCCCGCTCCCAATATCTCTCGATCTGGCAACACAATGTTTCAGCGCAGGACGGGATTGCCATGGTGACTCGTGGTAATCAGCACACACAAGCAGGGCACTCCTCTATCTTTAATCAACTTGGAACAGCACTGAGGAAAAGCCAGCCATGAAGCGGAAATTCAATTTGAAGTGTGGGACGTGTTCAAAGCGTGGGCACCTGAGGGATTGTCCAGTGAAGAAGCAACGTCGTGAGACAAAATTGAAAAATGAGCGTGGATCTTCCTCTGGCGCGGCACCACATTTTAAAAGTCAACACTGAGATGATGGTGACGATGAAGACTCTTCCGCTATGGCTAATGGCTTGTCATGGATGACTCTGAGGAGTAGAGGTGGATACCACAAGCCATGTTCTTTGGCAGGATTCAGCAGCAACGAATCACTCAACTTTTGACCGTGAGCTATTTTTGGAGATGAGGAAATGCACTGACCAAGTTCGACTCACAGATAACAGTTGAAGGTGTGGGCACGATTGAAGTGCGACTACCCACAGGCTTGGTGGTTCCAGTCAAGCATGTGTGGTACATCCCCAAGGCTCAACATTCCTTCCTTGGATGGAGCAAGGATTCAACTTGGAATTTCGTGGTGATCGTGTCAAGATCACACATCCAGAGGTTGGACATGTCGCTTCAGCAAGCACGATAGGACGACTGTTCCAGATGGATTGCGAGGTTTGTGTTCCAGGGAAGCTGCTAGCTACGATGACAGTGGCTACTGCGAGTTCATCTTCAGGGGGAGCTGTAGATATCCAAACTTGGCATCATCGACTTGGCCACATGAATCATAAGACGATCCAGCAGTTGCAGCGAGACCACGTGGTTGATGGCTTGGCCATCATGTCTTTTTCAATGCTATTGCGAGCCATGCATCATGGGAAAGCAGCATCGTCGGGCATTCAACTCTGGCGGGAGTGTTCGGGTGACAAGTCCTCTTCAGCTGGTTCACTCAGACTTATGTGGCCCTTTTCAAGTGATGACACAGCGCAAGAAGTACTTTATTTCGTTTATTGATGATGCTACGAGGTATGTGGCTGTTAAGTTCTTAGCTATTAAGGACGAAGCTTTGCTAGCATTTAAGGCTTATAAGCATGAAGTGGAGAACCAGCTTGATTTACGCATCAAAGTGCTCCGCTCTGATGGAGGAGGTGAGTACGTGTCCGTTCATTTTTCTGATTACTGCGAGAAAGCAGGAATTCAGCGGCAATTCACAGTTCCATACACTCCTGAGCTTAACGGGTAGCTGAGCGGTTTAACAGGACAGTGGTGGAGCTGGCTAGGACGATGATTGCTGATGCTGGTCTTCCTCCTAGGTTTTGGGATCATGCGATAGCCACAGCTGTCTTCATGCGTAATAGGGTGTTGACCACAGCTGTTCAAGGCAAGACACCTTATGAGGCTTGGACTGGACAACGTCCACGCATGGATATCTTACGGCGGTTTGGCTGTCTAGCCTTTTCTCATGTTCCTAATGAGCTACGCAGGAAATTGGATGTAAATCCAAGAAGTGTGTATTTCTGGGCTATAGTGCAGCGAGGATATCGACTCCTTCATCTAGACTTGGGAAAAGAGTTTGTGAGTCTAGATGTCATCTTTGATGAATCTCGTGTGTATTTTCAACGTCAAGTTCCTTCTACAGGTTTTCTTTGTGGAGAAAGTAGGGCGAGCTCACAGCCTGTTTTCTTTCATCCATGGGAGGATGATCCTCTACCTGGACTTGGCTGTGCTTATGCTCCAGCTGCGGGGAGCTTCAACCTCTGCTGTGACACGAGAAATAGAGCCTGATCACGTTCCTGAGGTGGTTCCTGATCCTGAGCCCGAGCACAATATTCCTGAACCTCCTGAACCTGTGCGTCACCGAGATCCTGATCTTATCCAGGTTTTGAGCCGCTCTGGTCGCCCTTTAACCTATATAGCGAAGGGTGAAGCTTATCAGCGAGAGCAAGCTGAGAAGCGAGCACGAGCAGCTGCTAGAGCTTCTTATTATCAGAGTCGAACGGCTATGTTCACAGCAGCAGAGGTGAAGATTCCGGTTACGCTTGCACAAGCTAAGAAATCTCCTTATGCTGCTGCACGGGGTGACGCTATTGATGCTGAGATGCGAGCTCATGCAATGAATGAAACCTGGTATCTTCCTGATGAAGTTCCTGACAATGCTAATGTAGTTTCGACAAAGCTACTTTTCTGCGTGAAAGCTGGACCTTCAGGAGAAGTGCAGCGCTTTAAAGCTAGGCTTGTGGCACGAGGCTTTACTCAGATCGAAGGCATAGACTTTACAGAAACTTTCAGCCCGGTCGTGAAGATGGCTTCTATCAGGCTGTTACTTGCTTTAGCAGCGCAACATGATCTTTATGTGGAGCAAATGGATGTGAAGACTGCATTTTTACATGGAGAAATTCCTGAGGAGGTTTACATCCAGCTCCCGACAGGCCTAGATCCAAGCCAAAGGATTTATCGGCTGAAGAAGGCTTTATACGGCCTGAAACAAAGTCCACGCATCTGGTATAAGAAAATCGATTCTTTTCTGATTTCTCTTGGATTCCAGAAAAACCATGCCGACTCAAACGTTTATATGAAGATTGAGGATGGTGCTTTGGTCATTTTGGCCTTGTATGTGGACGATGGTATCTTTGTTTCCAACAACAGAGATCTTCTTGCTGAAATCAAGAGAAAGCTAGGAACCCAGTTTGAGATGCAAGATCTTGGCCCCGTGCACACTTTCCTTGGGATTCAAGTTCAGTGACCACAGCCAGGAGTTGTGACACTCTCACAACGAGCTTATGTGGAGGAAGTATTGCGCAGGTTTGGCCTTGAGAACCTCAACCCTTCCATTACTTCAATGCAAGCGAGTACTCATTTGTCTGCTGAGATGTCTCTTAGTGAGGTTGAGACGCAACAGATGGAGCTTGTGCCATATCGCCAGGTCATTGGATGCTTAATCTACTTGGCCGTTTGTACCCGCCCAGACATTGCTTATTCTGTGGGAGAGGTGGCTAAGTATATGGCAAATCCAGGTTGGCAACATTGGCGCGCATCTTGTGCTATCTCAGAGGCACTGCTAATTTTGGCCTAAGCTATCAACGGCAGGTTTCTGGTCACACATTTATTTTGCGAGGCTATGCAGATGCAGATTATGCAGGGGATTTAGACGACAGGAAGTCTACATCCGGCTATTGCTTTTTCCTTGGTGATGGAGTGCTAACTTGGAGCAGCAAGTGGCAAGCTGTGACAGCCTTGTCGACAACTGAAGCGGAGTATCTAGCTTTGACAGGGGCAGCACAAGAGGCAAACATCGAGAAGTGCTTGGAGTATGCGACCTGTCCTCGCAGTGGGCGGCAATGGTCACGCTGGTGATAAAGATCCAGAGTGTTAGAGCCACGTGGCGTATAGCCACCTGGTTGAGTCGCATTCCTTCAGTTTAGGGCTTTCTTAGTTTTCTTTCCCATCCTGTGTGAGATCCATCCCAGGGGATTGTTCTGGGAGTGTTCTCATTCTCTATAGAGCGCTAGGTTGTGAGGGCTGGCTTCTCTCATCACATACACACAGAGAGAGAGAGAGAGAGAGAGAGAGAGAGAGAGAGAGAGAAGGGGGGCTCGTTCTGGATCCACATTTGGAGTGATCGCCTCTTTTGCCGCTACTCCTGGCATGATCAATTAGAAAAAAAAAATCTCTCCCTCACTGAATCAATGATAGTGAGCAAAGAATTGGAGCCTTCCTCTTTCTCCCTTGGGATTTTTCCTTTCTTAAATTCCAGCGATTGCTCAATCCTCCTTGATCCATTCCACTCAATCCTGGGAATTCAATGCTCCTAGCGCTCGCGATGCTCAGACATTTATCCCCAATACTCGTCACAATCTCCATCCTCGTTTTCCTCCCAATCGCTCTGGGCGGAGCTTCTTCCCGGATTCACGGTTTCGCGGAGGAGACAGAGATCCCGGTGTGGCCCAAGCCCCACTCAATCCTTGCCAGGGGCTCGGGGTCCCTGGCATTGGCCGAGAATTTCACGCTGCGCTCGTCGCTGGACTCGATCGCGTCGCTGAGCAGCGCATTCGCTTGAGGCGCTCAGCGTTCGAATCTCATCCCCGGACGAAACAGTGAGTCAAAATCGAAAATATCCCTCCCTCCATAGCCAGGGTTTTTATATTTTGCGCCATGGGCGCTCGCGCGAGCTGCGCCGAGCTCGATCGAGGTGCTGGGGATGGTATTCTTGCAAGCGATCGTTTCTTGTGCCTTTGTTCTTACTCCTAAGCTCTCTCACAGCTCCAAATCGGCGCTGGGGATCTGCTCTTGTCAACTTGCTAGCTGTTTTGATCTCGTCCTGGAGTTTTCTTCTGGAACTGAGCATCAGCAACAACACCCTGTTCCTGCATTTGCGTAAACAGCTTGGAAGCCACCTCTGGATTGCCGATCTCGAAACGTCCGAGGATCATAGAAGTCCACGAGGTGACATTCCTGTGAGGCATTTCTTGGAAGAGCTGCCAAGCCTCCCCAGCCCCCCACCGCACTTGAAATACAAGTCGATCAAAATATTCTCCAGCAAGATCGATGGAGAAAGCGCTGAGCTGCCGACCTCTGCCGAAGATCGTAGTGAATCCTCTTCCTGCTCCCAATATCTCTCGATCTGGCGATGCAATGTTTCAGTGCTGCAACAGTGGCTGCCATGCCCAGCACCTGGCTGCTGCGCCACTGCGAATCATATGCTTGCAGCGCATTGCCGTGTCCCTCGCAAGCGCAACATCATATTCACGGCCACGAATTTCTTTTTAAAAAAAGCTAAGAACTTTTCATTTCAAAGTTAGAGTAATTTTGGATAAGAGTGTAATTGGGAGAGGCAAGTGTGGTGTGGAAAGGTTTTTTGCAATTTAGTTTGTTGAAAGCTCAACCAATTTGTGTTCCTAGCTATGTTAATGTTTGGGCATCCCCATTTATTGTAATATGCAAAGCCATTGGTACAGCTTAGTCATTGCTTATTGTACTAGTTCCTATTTGGTCTTATTTAGGTTTAGCAACTTACTACACGAGTAACAAAACATTAACTATCCATTTTAAATCTTAATTTTTAGGTGTAACCTTTGCTTCGGGACACCAGGGGAGAACACTGTGGCTTAAAGGCCTGGTATAAATAACTTTACTCCCCCACTTCCATCCCAAAAGGAAGGCCCAAGCCCCTAGGAAGGGCGATGACCAATGAGCCAAGTATTCAAGTGAGGCACCATTTCACATAAGTTGGGAGTACTGTAATTAGTTTTCCTTTCGAGAGTGGGAGCTACTTTTAAGCACTTCCTTAGGTGGCCCTTCCGGCACCACTCTAGTCCATGCTCACTCCCACCCAAGGCCTGTAATCCCCAGTCTCAACATCAAATTTGTTTGGAAGCACCATTATAGAGCTTTTTCAAAACTGGTTCTTAAACTTATACTTTTAGAACCCTCTACAACCCCTCTCTCCCTTGGGAGACATACGCTTTGGGCTTTCACCCCATTATTTATATTAGTATTCAAACTTGATCTTGGACTCGATCTTAGACTTGACCTCGGACTTGGTCTCGGACTTGATTTTGAACTCAATCTTAGACTTGATCTTAGACTCGATCTCGTACCCGACATTAGACTTTGTCTCGAACTCACTCTTGGACTCAGTCTCAGAGTTGGTCTCAAGAAGTGTTATTGCCATCAAACTTAACTTAATACCCAATACCTATCTGTGGGTGATAAGCTGTGTTAAATTTCAACTTGGTGCGATACTGTTTTAGGAGTGTTTTCCAGAATTTACTGGTGAAGATATCTGAGATAATCTGTTCTAGCCTTCCCCGCATTGGAACCACTTGTTCAAAGAACAACTTCACCATACCTTCCATATCCACTTTCGTTGTGATGGATATGAAATGTGTCATCTTCAAAACCGATCTACCACCACAAATATCGCATCAAACCCCTTTTTTGGGGGGAGTCCTATGATGAAGTCCATTGTAAGACATTTCTACAGACGATCTGGAATTGAGAGGCTTTGTAACAAACCCCTATTAGCCTTAGTCATGGCTTTAACCTATTGACATGTTGGATATATCTTTATATAGTCTTGGATGTTTTAGCCAATAATACTTCTTTTTGAGTAAGCCCATCATCTTGGGCACTTTTCCGTATCCCACAAGAGGTCCATCATGACACTCTTCTAATATTACTTTCCTTAGTTTCCCTTGTGAAACATACACCCTTGTCTATTTATAATATATGAGTCCATTGTGTTTCATATAACCTTTCTTCTCTTCCATGGGCAGTTTGTCTCTTTGGTGAGCATCCCATATTTCTTGGCTCATTAGCAACACTTTTTATGTTAGACCATCATTCTTATATACTGTCTGCACATCATCCCAAAAGGTTGCTGTTGTATTGAATATTGCCAACTTCAAGCTTGTTTTTTGACTTAGAGCATTTGTCACGATATTGTTCTTCCCCGGTTTATATAAAATCTTGCAATCAAACTTGGCCAAAGCATTAGCCCACCAACTCTGTTTCCCTCTTAGGTCGGGCTATGAAAAAAAGTGTTTCATTGCCACATTATCCGTGTAAACTTTGAAGTGTCTCCCAAGGTAGTGTTGCCACTCTTTGAGCGTCTTGACCACCGCAAACAATTTCTTCTCGTGGGCAAGCCATTTTTGCTAAGCCTTGTCCAATTTTTTCGAGAAGAACACTACTGGGTGGTTGTTTTGCTTCAAAATTGTGCCCAACGCAAAGTCTAAAGTGTCAATTTCTACCTCGAAGTGCTTACCAAAGTTTGGTAACACCAACATATGAGCTTTCCTCAACTTCCTTTTGAGGTGAATAAACATTCTACTATCTATACCATCTTCCTTTTTTCCGTTTAGTTCATTAAAGGCAGGGTTACTCTCGAATAGTACTTGATAAACTTTTGGTAGTAATTGCATAGCCCCAAGAATGCCTTTAACTCATGTACATTTAATGGTTGTTTCCATTCCTAGATAGCTTGGACCTTTTTAGGGTTTACTTTGAGCCTGTCCTTGCCCACCACATGCCCAAGAAACTTTTCTTGTTGAGCAAAGTTATATTTGCTCTCTTTAGCATACAATTTGTGTTCCCTCAAGTATTTGGCATGCTCCTTTAACGTCTTGCTATGAATCAAGATGTCGTCAATATAGACGACCATGAAATGATCCAAATGACAAAAATGTAGTTCAATAGCACCGAAAATGTTGTTAATGCATTGCACAGCCCAAAGGGCATCACTAGAAACTCAAAGTTTTCATATTTTGTCTAACAAGTTGTCTTCTCGACATCCTCCTCTGTTACCCTAATTTGGTAGTATTCTGACCTTACTTATTTGATATGTTGGGAAAGGTGAAATACTTCTCAAGGATTGAATCCTTGGTAAAGGGTACTTGTTCTTCTTTGTATATTTGTTGAGCAACTGGTAGTCTATGCATATGTGTATAGAGCCATCTTTCTTTTTCACAAATAACACTAGTGCTTTATATGGCGACTTGTTCAACTTAACATACCCTTTTTCCACCAACTCTTCAAATTAACACTTGAGCGCCTTGAGTTCCTTTTCGTTCAATTGATAGGGGGGACGAACCACTGCTTTAGCACCCTCGACTAGCTCGATCTTATGTTTTATCGGTCATGTGGGGGGTAACCCTATCGATAACTCCTCCAGCATGGTATCTCAAAATTGGTCTAACACTTGTTGGATCATTAAAGGTGTTTCTTTTGTTCCCATCTTTTTGTCACTCCCCACTGAAAGTAAGCACAAAAATGCTACCTTAATTCCTTTAGTGAGTTGTCGAAATACTTCATTGGTGCTTTGGCTATCTTGAACAAACTCTATAGTCCTTGGTTCACCTAGCCACTACACCGTTAGTTTGGCTTGCTAAATTATATCTGTAGCCACAAAATTATCCGAAGCACCTATATCAATAAGGATCTTAACAAAGTTACCTCTGAGCTTTTCTCAAAGGGCTAGTAAATGTCACGAATTACTTTCTACCAAAGTTGCTCGTGTAATGAATAACTTTGAGCTAAGGATTGGATCACGTACCTCAATTTGAATTTCACCCAACTTAATAACCATATTGACTTTGGCCTTCTTCGGGTAGGGACATTCCCTTGAAAAGTGTTATACTTCAACGCAGTTGAAACATATGTTGTTTCCCACGTTACTAGTAGATTTGACCTTCTTATTAGTGGGTCTATCCTTTTTCACTTAACTCCTTTACATACTTGCTTGCTAGTTACCAGATTTGCCTTTCAAGAACTTTGAGAACTCATTCTTAGAGAAATTCTTTTTGAATTTCCCTTTGCCATATATTTGGTTTGGCTCCTTTGCTAAATGTGGACCCTAACCTCGTTGTATTTTCTATTTGTAAGTTATCATTGAAATGCACCTTGAGCTACATCTAATTCTTTTTTGTAATTGGTTGGATTCCAATGCATCACCTCACCTCGAACCCAAGTCTACAAGCTTGATATGAAGGCATGGAACGCATCCATATCGCCCATGTCTGTGACAAGGATCCTCTTTGCCATGAACACATTCATATACTTTTGAATGGTTCCCATCTGCTTCAGCCTATTTACCTCATCCCTTAGGTGCAAAGTAGCATTTGGAAGAATGTAAATTGTGCAAATCCTTGCCTTTATCGTTTCCCAAATGGCCACTGGTCCTTTATTGTCTTTTATTATTCTTCACTAAGACTTAGCATTATTTGCCAAGTATAGTTTAGCACATAGGACCTTCTCCAAGCTCAGTAATCGCAACACTCGGAAGTAATCTTCCATATTGTAAAATCAATCCTCCACCACCTTATAGTCATTCACTCCCTTGAAGATTAGTGGGGGCTTTAGTTTGTACTTGGGAATTGCTTCAGGGACTGATTCCATTTCGGTTTGTTCAACCTTGTTTGGTTCCACCTCAGTCCTCACTAAAGAGTCCATGCTTTCTGTGTTGCTAGCATCTGCAGTCTTTTGCTTTTTCTTCCGCTTTTCGTCATGCTTTAGCTTGCATATAAGGGTCTCTATTAAAGCATTGGTCTGTGCCAATTGTCCTTCTAGAACATCCAATCAACCAAACCTCACCACCGGACTTCTGTTTAAAAGTTTCCTCACTGGAGTCTTTCTTATACAAGGATTCCTCATCCATAGCTTCTTGTTCAATCGAAGGTTCTAGCTTTAGAGGAGGTTTCGTCTCCGCCTTGGTTCTCTTACCCCCTATTTTAGCCATCTCCCAGCAATCCATCTCTAACCTTTGCTAGAACTGAGGAAAAAGCTTCAATACCAAATTATAAGCCACAAATTTTTCATTTCCAATTTGCTAACTTACCCTGTCTATCTGACCACCACGTTTTTGGCTTTAGTCAAGTTCCCTTACCAAGGTTCCTGCCTATTGTACTAACTCCTACTTAGTTTCAACAACTCACTACACGAGCAACGGAGCATTAGCTATCCATCCATGTATTCCCAAATTCTTTTCCAATCCCCCTTCCCGGGTTAGACTGGACTTAAAATTTGGGTACACTCCCTACAGCTAAGCACACCAAACTTTTAGGTTTTTAACATCCCTTGGTATAACAAAACTTGTTCATGGGACCCTCTAAATCCCAAGTTTTGGGTGCAACCCTTGCTTCGGGACACCAGGGGGAAATATTGTGGCTTAATGGCCAAGTATAAGTACCCCTACTCCCCCACTTCCATCCCAAAGGGAAGGCCTAAGCCTTTAGGAAGGGCGAGGATCAATGAGCCACAAGGTACTCAAATGGGGCACCACTCCACATGAGTCGGGAGCATTACAGTCGATTTCCCTAGGAGCTGCTCTTGAACACTTCTTTGGGTGGCTATCCGGCACCACTCGAGTCCATGCTCACTTCCGCCCAAT